TGGTAATGACCGAATCATCAATTGCGCCTCCCTTCTCATTGGTGAATACAGTTAAAGTTCCAGTCCCAGGGTCAAGTCCAGCTACATCAGCAATGACAAGTTTTTCCAGAAAAGGAACCGTGTCCTTTCCCTTAAGGCTGAGGCCACACATATGGGAAACATCAAAGAGGCTACCATTTTCCCTACAATTTACTGTAGAATCCATAATTGAATCCTTGTATTGAATTGGCATACTCCAACCAGCAAAAGGAACCATTTTTCCCCCATTGGCAACATGGAAATCATACAGAGCTGTCTTCTTAAGATCAGCCTCTGATGCGAAGCATCTTCTAGCAATAGTCTTTTTATCAGCCTGAACCAGCCGGCGAGTTATGGATTGACCAAGTTGCCACAATCCTCCTCTCATCTTTGCTAAAATCCTGATTCCTACAACAACAGCGCTATCATAGTCAGTCAATACAAGTATAACTAACCATTTAAAAATTCAAATAACAAAACAAAAAGCGGATTTCTTTTGTGATTACCAGTTACAAATACAATCTCCCGCCAGATATATGATCCAAAAATAAGTATAATCAAGGTATCCCAATGGGAAGCAAAATCCAGTGGATAAGTATGCAATATCATATTCCTTAATATCTTTCAATCATTAAGTTTACGTATAACCTTAACAATGTCGAATGGCGTACGGGAACAATTGAAAGGCCAATTAACGAACCAAGGAAAACCCAAAATTTCGTGCAGCTGATAAGTGTACCATGAGGGTGAACTAATTCATTTAGACTGTGCCTAACCATCAAACAAAAAGAAACTCGGATTAATAGGATTCCGACCCTCATTAATCAAAATCCAATCTTTACCTTTCCACGTGATTTAAGCCTGAAAAAACATTCACCTCAGCATTCCACAATAAAGAGACTGCCGCTGACACTTGAGGACGCAAATATGGATGTAAAACAGCAATCCCAGATCCCAATACAGAAACTATTTCCAAGAATCATGCCGACATAGATCTCGGAAACCCAGAAGCAAACATTGACGCAAGTACCCAAAAACCAATCGTGTTAACATGAAGATGAGATGAAGCAATAAAGACACAAACTTGACACATTTTTAAGCATGCAAAAACATGACAATGGCAATACAGAGAATAAGTGCAGAGATTCATGATACTCACCGCTCTGGGAAGCTAAAAGCTCTGATCTTTATCTTTTCTTGTTTTTCCTTTTAGTTCAGAGCCCAGAGGAGTAGTAGCCTTGTGACTGTTACATATAAATACCCATAAGGAAATGGAGAAAAGACTGTCCTTATGTGAATGTTTGTGGGGGATATTATAAGATTTATCTCAAACTAAAAGGGGTACATGTAATGTAACTAGAGAAATAAATAAAGAGATAGCAGTAACATGGGACCTGTTCATATAGGTATTGAGAGACTAAAATATGAGGAAGTTTGGTGGGATGTAGTGGGTGGAGGAGGCTTTCTGTGCCAAATCGAGACCCATCTCTAGTGAGTGGTGGTGGGAATTTGGATACTCCATATCTTTTCTTTCTCAGTCTATTGTTTGGATTGGGGGTGGTTGGAGACGAGCTAGGAAATTGAGACGTTGGAAATTGGAATAGTGAGAGACCAGTAACAAGAGAGGAGAGAAATCCTTTTCGAGTATTGCACTAGTACCCCTTTCGCATAGTCAGCAGCTTTCTTATGTGGACGACACTATTTCTAATTTTGGTCACATACTCACATCCTAAGTTGTTAAAATTAATGTTTTTTCTTGTACATACGCATTTGGCAAAAGGTGATCAGCACGCTGCCATAAGTTCTTTCATGATGAGCTGAAACCTCTGGTTTTAGAAGTTCAAGGGGAGGTCTTGATTTGCAGAGAAAATGTAGTTTGAGCCCTCACTACTTGAGGCGTGAATTCAATCAGGTCTCCAATAATTTGAATCATAGAAATTGGTTTTACAACCTCTAATGTCAGTCAGCCAAACTCATCCGAATTATTTCATCACAAGGAAATGTATTCTCTGCAGTATTCAATTAGTACTCCAATACCTGTATTTTAAGGACTCGCATATCTATTTTTTGAGGACTTCTATTTAGCAATCTTTCAGAATTTGAACATCAAATTTAGACTCATCTACTCTACCTATTAGTGAGATAGCCCTCTAGTGGAGGCAACCTATGACGGGGTTTGAACCAAAAGCAACTTCTTGAACTCCTGGATCCTTTATAAAAAAGAACAAGCAATTTCTTCAATGATAGAGTGTACCTTTTTTTTTTCAGTTGGTAGGAGAGAGTTTTTGTGACACAGTGGTAATCAGCTAGTAGCAATTGAACAGGAAAACATCTTCCTCCGGGAAGTTACATAGCTCTGGAGGTTTTGCATCATAATATGTAAATGAATGCGTTTGGACAGGAGATTATTTGGAATGATTATTATATGATAGTACTTTTCAAAATATGACGTATATAAAATGAAGGAAAAAGAATCCCAATGGCCCTCCAACTCCTTACCAGGTAAAGTTTTAGCCCTCTACTAATTAACGGTAAAGTTTTGGCCCTCGATCTAATAAAATAGCATATTCATGCCCCTTCTGTCAGATCCAGCAGTTAAAATTGACGGAAAGCATTATCTCGTGAGATGCACGACTAAATATCAAGGCATTTCAGTCTCTAAAGGAGGGAACCTGCAAATCTAGAAAGGGAGAGCTTTGGCTGACCCGTCAAAATCGCAGATCTGAATTATAAATTTAAGGCTTGAAGTAGCAGAAGGAGTGGAAATTGGGGGCAGCTGGCAAATCATGATTCATCAATTTTTGGAACAGCAGGGCAAAAACGTAGGCAGTATGCGCCTGCACCACAACCTGCCATGTCTGCAACAACATTACTACAAAAAGCTGCTCAGATTGGAGCAGCAACAACTAATGTTTCACTCTTGAAAGAGTTCGGGATTGTTTCGTCGGCGTTAGCTTCCATCGGGTAGCAGGAGTGGAGTGGGAGAGCAATTGAGTTTGATAGTGCATCATTGGCAGCAGGCCTAGGACTTGGGCTGCCATGTGATGGTGGGTCCCTTGGGTGGAATTCTTTTTCTCAACGACTTGCCAACAACGAAGGCAGATGTATCTTTGGTTGATCCGAACCTCTGTTTTGAAACTCGGACCGGATCGGTCGGTCGAATCGGAAACCGGCCAGGTAGCCAGTCCGAGTCATACTAAAAAACCGGAAATTTAAAACTCGGTCAAAGTCGGTCAAAACCGGATTTGACCGGAAAAAAACCGATTTTCCGGTTCAACAGTGTTTTTTTTAAAAAAAAGTTCAAACTTTTTAATATTATGTTTTGACCCCCTAAATTATTAAAACTTATTGATATACCTCAAATATTTGATACTTTATTTATAAATATTGTCCTAAAATTTGATGTTATTTTTCAATTTAATTCATAATTTTAATTCTAAACTTATTAATATTTATTAAATAATATAAATTGCTACTTGATTGTTCTAATTTCTTTGTATTTTCTTATTAAATATATTTGAAACATCAAATATATATGAATATACCTTTATTAATATCAACATATTATTAAATATTATATATATAATATTTTAATTTTTAAATAATTTTTATTTATGACGTCATCCGGTTCGACCCCTATTGACCCCCGGTCGAACCTATTGACCCCTTACCCCTGACCTCGGCCGAATCGCTATCCGGTCCGATTCTGAAAACATAGATCCGGACACAAAGAAAAAGGTATGTCTGATGTCTGAGATTTATTGCAACACCAAGATACTCTGTCACTTCCGCAAGTACTTTGGCAGAACCTTCAGAACCAGAACTCCATTTTATGTATTTACCTCCAACAGCCTAAGATGCAGATGGTGGGAAATTTGAGTTTTATGAAATTGTATGAACATTAAGATGTCCAAGCACTACAGAATACTCAGATTGACTAAGAGCAAGCAATGAATTGTGACCATTTGGTTCCAGTTGATGCACAACAATTAGCACTTTCGCTGCAGCATTCGGATCTAATAGTTTGACTTTTTCGCACTAGGGTTGGAGCAAAAAGGGTGGAAATTGTTGGAGGGAAAATCAGTGGTGAAAGTGTTTTTACCTTTTCTTTGCTTAGAGGCTATAATACCCTTAATATTTGGCCGTACGTCTCGCAAGATGATGCTTCCCGTCAAATTTAATTGCTAGATTTGACAGAAGGGCTATGAATATTCTATTTTATTAAATTGAGGGCTAAAATTTTACCGTTAATTGTTGGAGGGCTAAAATTTTACCTGGTAAAGAGTTGGAGGGTCATTGAAACTCTTTTCCCTAAAATGAAAATGTGATTAAAAAGATTAAAAGATAATTAAAAATTATATTTTTGGTGTAAGTAATAAAATATTATGTGGAATTATTTTTGCTAGTAGAGCAGCTCCTCTACTTCGCATGTTATAGTTCCTCTCTCTTTGAGAGCTTCTTTCTCTAACTTTAGAGGTTTCCTCCTCGGTGTGGGAGAGTGGGTGAGGTTGAAACACATAGCATTTTCAAAAGCTTAACTTTTCAGATCTAATATCAAATCTTTGTCCAACCTTTGCCTTCATGTTCCCTGTCCTGAAGCCACTTTCTTTTCGGCTTCAAAATGGGGGACTAAGTTTGTTGTGGTTCGGTATCGGTTGGAGGAGTAATGGCGGTGGGCAAGACAGGATCTATTGATTCAGAGAGTTGTTGGAAGTTGGAGCGTCGTTCTGTTTTCCTTTTCCTTTTTGCTTTTATGTGGTTGGTGGTGGAATAGTTTGTTAGTTTGTCTTTCTCTGTTTGTTTTCCTTTTCGTTCTTCTTGTTCCTTTTTTCAGTCTAGTTCCTCTCTGTATTTCTGTTGGTTTTCTAGTGTGTACTGATAACACAGCTTCGTTTTTCTTCGCTTTGCATCACAGGTCTGTCAGTAGGTCACTCATAGCTCTGAAATAGTGCTTGGTTTTTCAAGGAGCTCATATAACAGGAATGGCGGATGCTTTAGAAAGAGCCTTTCAAAATTTCGACTTGTCTAAAACAGAGTTAGGTGGTGTAGATCTGAGCGGTGAGGACTTGGAAGATGGCGTAACAGAGTGTCAAGGAAGTCTGGTAGGAAAGCTGATAGGTGAAAAAATAGCTAATTTCACGGGGCTAAAGAACTTTACTAATCATGCATGGGGGTACCCTGCAAAGCTGAATGTGAATGAGTTAGGTCCTAACTTATTTCAGTTTCATCTGGGAGATGAAGGGGAGAAGAAAAAGATCTTATCTGGAGGGCCTTGGGTTATAGACAACCAGATGCTGATAGTGAAGGAGTGGGTAGAGGGGTTTGATAGAAACAGCAGGTTTTTCCAGCATTCCTTTCTTTGGATTCAACTCTGGAACCTACCGGTGCATTGGTTGAGCAGAGCAGTGGGAAGGAAAATAGGAGGGATCTTTAAATCAGTTAGGGGAGTGATTATCCCAGGGAGTGGTGGGAAAGAGGGCCGTCACATGAAGATTATGGCTGAGGTAGATATAACAAAACCACTGCTTAGAGGGACTAAGATTAACTTTAAGGACCAGGCAGTGTGGGTTGAGTTCAGGTATGAACGTTGCCCTGACTTCTGTTATAGGTGTGGTATCATAGGGCATAGTGATAGGTCTTGTTCGGGGGTAGGAAGGGTGGGGGGGAGAAGCGAGAGGAACAATATGGTGCTTGGATGAGAGTTGGAAATATTATGGTATCTCCCTTAAAGGGACGTCTAGAAGGAGCAAGTGAAACTGGAGGAAGGAGGTTGGGGGCAGGGTCTCCTTGCGGAGAGGTTCAATCTGGGGTTCAAACGGCTGGGGATACTTTAAATGTTGGGGGAAAAAATAGTAGACTGTTGGTGGAAAAGGAAAGGGTGGATAAGGAGAAAATGATGAAGAGACAAGCTGAAGAGAGGTGGGATGAGATCTTAAAGGATAGCAGACCGTATGAAAAGGCAGACCAAAGGGTTGAAAGTTGGGCAGTAGTTTTAATGGAGGGAATTGGTGAAAAGGAGGGTAGGGTACTGGAAGGCTTAAAAGGTGGAAGCAGAGTAATCCCATCAGTAGGGAATGAGGATATGGATACGGACAGTTCAAGGAAGGAAGGTGAAAATTTGCAGATAGAGTCAGTTAAGCAGGTGGGGACAAATGAAAAAATGCAAAGGAAAGTGACTATGCCAGGGGAAGTAGATAACAAATCTGAAAAAAGAAGCAGTTTTAAAAGAAGAGGGAGGCCGGCTAAAACATCCTTAAAGGCGGATACAAAGGGGCAGGCAATGCAGGCTGAGAGTGCTAAAAGGAAGGCTGATGGTATGGTTCAGGGGACACAGCCGATGGAGGAGGATGATGATAAAGTACCGAAGGTAAAGGTAATGAAACTGGATCAAATAAATGATGGCTCACTAGGGGAAATGGAGGCTAGCCCCACAATGCCTCCAATGTGTAAATGAAGGTTGTGGTGTGGAATTGTCGAGGTGTAGGAGGCCCCTTGACAATTCCCCAACTGAAGGAAGTGACAAACTTCCACTCTCCTAAGGTGGTGTTCCTTTGTGAAACAAAGAATCAGGAAGGTTTTATGGGTAAGGTTCAAAGGAAGATTAAGTATGACAATAGCTATTTTGTGAATTCGATAGGTAGAGCTGGCGGTCTAGCATTATTTTGGAACAATGAGGTGACATTAGACAAGATAGTAAGTACTGATTGGTTTATTAATGCTAGAGTTGAGGACAAGGATACGCAAGGATACTGGGGGCTAGTGTGTGTTTATGCAAGCACAGATAGTAATATTAGAAAAGCACAATGGAAATTTTTAGAGGACAGGATGAGGGACTGGGGGGAGGACTGGATCATAGTTGGTGATTTTAATGACTTGCGGTCTAGTGAGGAGAAGTGGGGAGGAACAGAGAGAGCTGAAAGATGTTTTAGGGAGTTCAACAGGTTTATAAATGACAATAATCTGGTTGACTTAGGTTACCAAGGGGTTCCGTGGACTTGGTGCAATTGTTGGGAGGGGGATGGGGAAGTGAAAGAGAGGTTGGATAGATGTTTATGCAGCACCGAATGGCTCCAAACATTTGAAAAGGCACAGTGTACTCATATAGAAACTGAAGCCTCTGATCATCTAATGCTTTTAGTGGATACAAATCCAGAAACCAGAAGGCCAAAACGGAGATTTTATTTTGACCAAAGATGGACACAATATCCAGAAGCAAAAAGAGTGTTTCAAGGAGCATGGACAAAGGTGAAGTCAGGGTCCAGGATGTTTAGAGTGGCTACAAAAATAAAGGAATGTCGAATGGCTATTCTGGAATGGAGGAAGAAAGTGCAGGGAAACTCAAAATCTAGAATTAAGATGTTAAAGGAAAATTTGGCAGAAGTGAAAGCCAGAAATGACGATGGGAAACGAGCACAAGTGGACGATCTAAAAGCACAATTGACTAAAGCCTATGCAGAGGAAGAGAGGTTTTGGAGTCAAAAATCCAGGTGCAGGTGGCTCAAAGAAGGGGACAAGAATACAGCTTTTTTCCATTCGTCGGTCATGGCAAAGAAGAGGAGAAACAAGATCAGTACGTTGCAGAAGAAAGATGGGACATGGTGCAAGGAGGAACATGAGATCGAGGAGGAACTTTGTCAGCACTATAAAGACCTTTTTACAACAACAAATCCGGACTGTTTTGAGGACATTCTAGCTGATATTCCAAGCACTATTTTGAGCCATATGAATGAACAACTGATACGACAAGTGGAGGAAAGTGAGATCAGAAAAGCTTTGTTCTCGATGCACCCTAATAAAGCACCGGGGACGGATGGTATGTCTCCTCTATTTTTTCAACACTATTGGGATATTATTAAGAGTGATGTGGTAGAAGCTATTAAGAGTTTTTTTCATACTGGCCATTTGCTCAAAGCTGTGAATGACACTATTATTTCTTTGATTCCAAAAGTGGATACTCCTGAATCGGTAGTGCATTTTAGACCTATAAGCTTGTGCAATGTCATGTATAAAATTATCTCTAAGATTATAGCTAATAGATTGAAAGGGGTCCTGCATCATTGTATTAGTCCCTCTCAGTCCGCTTTTATCCCAGGCCGTCAAATTCTGGATAATGTAGTAGTTGCACACGAAATCTTGCATTTTTTGAAAAATAGGAGAAAGGGAAGGATAGGATTTATGGCTCTTAAACTGGACATATCCAAAGCTTATGATAGAGTCGAATGGAAGTATGTGGGGAGAGTTATGATGAAAATGGGGTTTTGTCCTATTTTTGTTAGATGGATCATGTCTTGCCTATCTACTGTGACTTACTCCTTCAACTTAAATGGGCAAAAGGTAGGCTATATTCAACCGAGTAGAGGGCTTAGGCAAGGAGATCCTCTATCACCGTACCTGTTTATTATATGTGCAGAAGGCCTTTCATGTTTGATCCACAAAGCGATGATGAACAAGGAAATAACAGGGATCAAAATATGCAAGGATAGTCGGATGGTTTCTCACCTCTTTTTTGCAGATGATTCGCTACTATGCTGCCAAGCAACCAAGCAGGAGGCGAGGAAGGTCAAAAACATCTTGGAAAAATATGGTCAAGCATCTGGACAGGTGGTAAATTTTGAAAAGTCAGCTATCTTTTATAGTAAAAATACCACTGACCGAAGAAAGAAAGGAGTGAGGGTGGAATTACATAACATTGAAGAGGCTAGGAATGGAACCTATCTGGGACTCCCAATGGTAATAGGAAGATCGAAGACTCAGGTCTTTGCATTTGTGCAGAACAAAATCAGACATAAGTTGCAAGGTTGGAAACAAAAACTCTTGAGTCAAGGTGGGAAAGAAATTCTGGTCAAATCTGTGATTATGGCTATGCCAACATATGTGATGGCTTGCTTTAGACTTCCAAGGGGTTTGTGTAGACAAATCTCAGGTAAAATTGCGAGATTCTGGTGGGGGAAGGGAGAAAAGGACACATGTGTACATTGGGCAAGCTGGAAGAAGCTATCGGAAGTTAAGGGAAGAGGAGGTTTAGGTTTTAGAGACTTGGAGGCCTTCAATACTGCCTTACTAGCAAAACAAATTTGGAGATTCTTAATGGCTCCAAATTTGTTAGTAAGTAAGGTAATGAAGGCGAAGTATATGAGAGATGAAAAATGGATGGATAAGAATCCGGTCTCTTCTGCCTCATGGTGTTGGAAGAGTATTCATAGTGCAACCTCTTTTCTGTGTGATGGTCTTTGGAAAAGAATTGGAGATGGGAGGTCAGTCAGTGTGTGGCGGGACAGATGGATAGTTGGCTCTGATACTGGCTTTGTTTCAACAACAAAACCTGTGGAATGCAAGTTGGAATGGGTGAGTGAGCTGATAGAGGCAGGGAAATGGAAAAATGAATTGCTTCAGAAGTGGTTTAGCACAAAAGATGCTGAGCACATAAAAGGAATTCCAACAAGTATAGGAAGAAGAAAGGATAGGTTGGTATGGGGGCATTCCAAATCTGGAATTTATAACGTGAAATCTGGTTATGCTGTAGCAAGGCAACAGGAAGGAAAGGTAGGTACAAGGACAGGCCAAGATGCAGAAACAAGTTGGGAGATACGAAAGCGAAATGTGTGGAAGCAGTTATGGCATTTGAAAGTGAAAGCCAAACTGAAACACTTCATGTGGAAGTGCCTACAAAACTGCCTGCCAGTCAATGAACAACTATCGAAAAGGCTACACAGAGGGGAAGGCAGATGTGGATGCTGTGGGGAAGACATGGAAACCATTGAGCATTTGTTTTTCTTCTGCGACAAAGCTGTGGAATCATGGAAGCTTGCACCGGTCAGGTGGGATGGACTAATGGATATGCAATATAACTTTTGGTTATGGTGGGAACAAGTCACACAATCGCTGGCACTGAGTCAAGGGCAGGAGAGAGTTGGTCTTACGATTAATATCCTTTGGCAAATTTGGAAAGCTAGGAACAAAAAAATTTTTGAAAATGTTAACCAGGATCCAGTAAGAATTGTCAGGAAAGCACAAGATGAATGGCTTGAGTCTGAACAGGTTAGGAATACAGACCAGCTAGAGAGTACAGGGAGGATGCATGATGACTTACCTACCAGGAGGGTGCGGACAGGAAAGGGAGAGATAAGGTTGTATACTGATGCTGCAATATCAGCTAAAAGAGTTAGGACTGGACAAGGCATAGTAGCAAGGAATTGGAAAGGACAGATTTTGAAGGCAAAGGGAATTGTCACACAGGGAAAGGGATCGGCAAGTGAAGTGGAAGCTCGGGCAGTGAGAAATGCTCTGCTGATGGCTACTCAAGCAGGTTGGACAAAAATTATAGTCCATACAGACTGCAAATCAGTGGTTGAGCAGATTACAAAACGCAAGGAATATGACTACTTGACTGCAACTATCTTAGAAGATGTGCAGGAACTAAGTCTAGCTTTTGAAAAATGTTCCTTTGTGTTTATACCTAGAACTGAAAATCAAATCAGCCATCATTTAGCACAATATGCTGTAAAGCTTGTACATGATATTGAATGGGAGAATGATTTCCCAATATGGCTGACTGATTTAGCTAGGACAGAGATGAGGGTAGTATCCCCTTTTTGTAACTACTCTGTGTAAGGTCAAGTGTTAATATTTATAAAATGATATCGTTTGTTGAAAAAAAAAAAATACTTCACATGTTATATGCCATTTTAACCTTTTTTTTTTCCCCAAATTTTAAATATGTGCCATTTGGACATTGCCCTTTTCATATTTCATTTGTTTCAATCAATGTTTTATTTATTTATTTATTTTTTGGGTTTGTCCCAATCCCAAACTTGCTTTTCTTCCAATCAGCTCTGTGTTCTCAATTTTTTCTAGTTTCATCTTGCTAGAAAGGAGAATGGAGTGCAATATTGACAACTCTATAAACTCTGAGAAAAAGTGATCGAGCTTTTAAAAGAGGACAAAAAGAAAAGGATGAGTTTACATAATTTTTTTTGGAAATTTTAATTTTTTGAAGAAATAAATATGTGCTGCTGGCATTCAATCCTGAAGCCTAACAAAAGTAAAACACGTTACACGAAAGCGACAACGTTGGATCATTTAGTCACTTTGCCTTGCAAAACGAAGCGCAGAAAACACCAAGGTTAGGAAAGGCCATTGGTCAATAGCCAGAAATTTCCGCCACTTCTGAAAAGAGCCTTCTAGGTGATTCAAATGAAGAAGTTTTGAGAGCCATTCACGAAATTTGTGGCCCCCATATAATTCTCCTTGAGGTTCTACCTTAGATATTTCTTCAACTTCCTTGCAGCATCTTTCCTTGCATCTACATATATTTTGCTCGTTTAAATCTCGATTTTCTGATCGCTATTAACCTCATTTTTTATTTGGATTCAGCTGTCTTTGTACTAAGCTTTACATTGGAAAATCTATTTCTGTATTTGGCAGATGAGATCATCTAAAACCTGATAAAGCCTAAAGGTATGTGTTTCTCAAAAAAAGTGCTTTTTTTTTATTCTGTAACTATGAATTAAAGCCAAGAATCATGTGTGATCATTGTTTTACTACTGATGATTGTACTCAGTAGGCCATACTTATATCTTGTCAAGCTTTATTAAAAGGTGAGCTCGAAAAAGAAGCTAGAATCAGCATAACATTTTTTATCCTGTGTTTGAAAAATGATGAATTTCCTTGTTTTAATCACCATGCTCTTCGAATTCTTTCTGGGGTGCTGTCCAACTAACAGAGAAATGGTTTCTCTCTCTCTTTCCCCCAAAGTTCTTTTGTTACGTTTAGTTTTTCTAAATTTTAAAGGATGACTTTACCGATAATTTTAAAGTTACATTTGCTGCAGCAAATTGCAATGGTTTTCTGGTTTTGGTCTATATGAATATAGGTGCCATCTTGACTTGCATTTGTGTGACTAGTTGCAGGGTTTATGTATTCATTCACTTCATTGTTGCTGTTTCCAAAGTTCAATGTTTATGAAAATTATGAAACTTAGATAATTGAAATCTCTTATTTGCAGAATGTTAAGCATAATGAAGCTTCAGTTATGTAAAGCTTGTAACTTTTTCCCTAATACTGCAGGGGTATCTGATATGATGATAGGGTCTTTCGGTCAACTGGAACTGATTAAAGTTTCACAACATATTATATGAGCAAGGCTAATGTTTTATCCATCTCTAAGATGGATGTAGTTTTTTATCGAAGTGTATAGTTCCATAGATTTAGTAAAAGTTGGAAGCAAATATATTAACAGGTGTAGCTCACATAAGCAGAAACCTGGGAACCTGCTATAATGAAACTTCTAGTCTCTTTTTTGTTTGCTTAAAAGTGTTTGCACTTGTTCAGTCGGATCTTTGTGACTAGTTTTGAGTATGCTTGAATGCTAAAAGCATAAAGAACTTGTTTTGGAATTTGGTTATTGTACTGTTCTCTTATTCTTAATTTAGCATATAACTTATGATTGAGTGTTTGGAACTGATTGAAGATAAACTGTCATGGTTCAACCATGTTGACGGTTCACAATCTGGGAATGTATAACAACTGCCACGCTTATTTGGACTCAAATTTACTGAATGAAACCGCATCTGGAAAGCTTAGGCTTCTAAATCCCTTGAGCAGTAGTGTCAGCTCTGCTAACTCTCCAAGGGACCCTTTTACTAAAAGAATACAAAATTGCTCCTTTTCTCGGGATTTCTTTACTCATCTTAAAGTCCATCACCTCTCATACCAGAATCCTTCAAAGATATGGCTGGTAAGCATTAAGTTGTGCATTCTTTCCCTTAATAAGGGGAACACACAAACTTTTTCAACTAATTGTCCTTTCTGACTATGTTGGTTCTTTCATGTGATTGCTTATGTAATCATTTCAGTGCCATTTACAAGACTCTGTTTCACCTGACGATGAATACCGTTCATCACGTAATATAGCAATCAGCTTGTTCAGGCGTTACCGGAGTTTTGTGGAGCGCGGAGGAGGTGACAACTTAAAAGTATATTTATTTCTTTGTTGCTTTTTCTCCCACGAGATGAAGTTATTTGCTTCCTGTAATAAGATGTTAGAATGGTAATTGTAGGAGTTCATTGGTGCTGGTGTAAATGCCTATGCATTGGGATGTACTGACGAAGGATTAAGGAAAGAACTAATTCAATTGAAAGAATCTGGTGCCGAAATTGAAGCTTTACAAACATATGGTGGAACCACCAGTCTAAAGTACAAGATATTCAGTGAGGAGGTAACAGACAGTGCAATAGTGTTGTTGATTTGCTTTTTGGCACATTGCCAACAATGGTAATGGCAGCAAGTTCTTTAACCATGTTATAGTCCATGTGAATCCAGATGTTGTAGTGAGTGATTAAATCCAGGAAAGTCTTAATTTGACAAGTCAGGTAGAAAAGCATTTAAAATATGAGGCTCAAACTTCAATATTGCGGGAAAGGTCATGTATGGATAATAGAACGTGCATGATCAATTATTGGGCCAAGTTGAAAAGTGCATTTTGATTTTTTTGACAATAATCTCAAATTAAAAGAAAATTTCTACTTTACGGCAATAAGAAGCTGAGTAGTAAGGGACCAGATATAGGGCAGCCAAGACATAACATGCCAATGAAGCAAGTGTAGTTTTTCAAAATAGTAAGCTGGTGCACCTGTTTGAACAGGTCAATGATATATTTCAAAGAAAGAAGTAGAGAAAAAAAGAAGACAGTGTATAACATATTAAAATTGAAAGGTATGAGATCATATTGCTTGGGCAAAGTGTGACTGGAGTATGTATGCTGACAGTAGGTACTCTGAGGCCTTCATTGGGACAGTTAGCAGCACTTCCTGGTGTTTTGTGTGAGTTAAAAGTTTTCCTATATGAACAAAGCACTTCTACATAAAGAAGTTCTCAAATTTAATCAGGTCAGTAGACAATATAGGTTTCTTTTCTGACATTGTGTTTTCAACCAGGATAGCATTACCTCCAAATCAAGACAAATGATTCAGATTTCCTACCTCTCTTATTCATTGTTCTCGTTGAAGCTTTGGTTTCAATGCGACTTTTTCTTGTGGGTATAATAGTGAACATCTTTGATGCTTGCAATTTTTTGAATACCTAAACTCATCATTTTCTTTTTAAGATCTCTTTTGGGCTGTATGAGTAAGAACTCATATCAATCCACTTAATCGTTTCTTATTGTTCAAAGTTGCTTTCTCATATTTTCATCCCCTTCAGATGTTCATAATTCAGGAAATCCACAGACTATGATATGTGCTATTGCACGTCGTAAAGCAAGGTTACATTGTCTAACATAAATCCTCTGTTTTGTTAGTGACAGCATCTATTTTTTTGGAACACTTATTTAGGAGGCTTAAGTTGTATAGCTGTTTTTATATTGCTTAATGAGGTGAATTGTTGCTTGTGTCAATAAATTGAGAGTCGTACTTTCTCACAAGACAATAGTCTTATTCCTCAATCACTGATGTATAATTTAACTAAAAGGTGCTATGGGTAATATCTTCGCTATCTAGTAGACTGGTGGTGTATGTGATGGTCAGTGATCTCAAAATCAATGAGTTTAATGACTAGATGACTGAACTTCGTCTTCTCCAACAATTGACTGCTTTGTTATCTGCTGGCAACTTGAAGTGATAGCATGAGTCCAAAGTCGTGCTACCCTTTTATGAAGTTTGATGCGATATTTTGGGGCTGGAAGTTAATGCATAGAGTATCTAAGCAGTGTTTTACGTCACCTGTTATTTTATGCCTTATAATTGATTGTTGGTTGATGACCATGTGGAAGATTTGGCTCTGATTAAGATGATTTTAAACTTCTAAGGACCATCTTGAGACAAATTGCTGTGCTCTTGTAGTCTTACCAATGCTTTTCTTTGTCTTGCAAATGATAGCTAACAGGTAACTCTGGTTACCAACAACATCTGCATAAACTGAAGATTAACAGCACATAATTTGTTTGTGCAGCTTGATGAATGCATTCTGTGGTTGAGCATTATATTCATCACCATCCTGTGTACACCACAACCAACAATAGTTAGATGGTCATCCACACCTCCAGTTTCTGAAGATATGATGCTGCACTGGAAAGGCTTTTGTGCAATCATAGCAAATGCGTACTTTGTGAGGGGAATGGCATGGTCTGATGTTTGATTTCCATTCCTCTCTCTTCTATAATTTTGTTTTAGTTTTTGAAGTAAATCTCTGTATACTCATTAATATAATGTGTTCCTGAAAGTAAAGGCATCATGATTTTGTTTTCCTATTGTGGATTATCATTTCAGACTTACCCCTATTGAGAAGCTTTATGTTAGATCTTTGTTTTCTGTTTGCTTTAGATTATTTAATCTGTTTTATGATTTGTTGAAGAAGGGAAAAAAGATGGTTCATCCATTTGAAATGATTATATTCAATGTGCATTTGTCTTGCCGGTGTAATTCTTCTTTTTTACAAAATTTGTCCCTGCTGGTATATCTATGAACATATCCTTCTTACCCTACTGCTCTGGTGTAACTTTTTCTCTAAGAGACAGGCCTTAATGTGTCCACTGAATAAAGTCAACTCCTTGTGTATGTCTTCATCTTAATGTAGTATGACTGCCTTTCCCCATGGCTATGAAGTGATGATATTTTCTTGAAGCTAGAAGCATTTACATCATAACCTTTTTGTCTGCATTAGGCTTCCTGTGAAGACTCTTCAGCTAGAGCAGATGGCAGTAGTGGGCTATGCAGAAGAGCCATCAGTTGTTGCCAGCAGAATGAGATTAGTATTTAGCACACTCGAGGTCAGTTATACATTTTCATTCCAAGCTTCTCCTGATGTTTGACAAATAAACACTCTGAAGAGGAAGTACTGAAACATGTTCAGACAATTTCGTCATATAAAGAGATTACGCATTGAACATTGCTGTTCCAAGTCGGGATCTTCTCATTTTCCAGACAATTCATGCAGGTTGTGAGTCCACAATGGCCAAGAGGGTAGTCTAATTGGAGCACATCCATGTTTTGCTGGAATCCCCAAATATAATAGTTGTCAGCTGTAAATAGGAGGCTCTGGCAGAGCATTATGTACTACTTTCTTGGACAAGTAGCTGTTGTAAAAAGCAGTGTTTACTAATCTAAGCATCTTACATCTTAATATATGACCTGCATTATTTGTTGAGATCAATACAACTCTTTCAGATGGCAACACTTTGTGTTCCTTTGAAAATTATGTCTAAATGTCTTTTTCTTTTACTTCTGAGTGCAATCCCTTCTGTTGATTGAGAATCCTAGAGGGAGAATGGTGAAATTGAACGGTTAAGCCTTCATTGGTATACCATGATTGTCAAAGATTCTTTTCATAGAAGGGGAAGAAACAGAAAAACCGAATAGCTATGCAACTGACTAAAAAGGGGGCAGCAGCAAAAGCGTTTCTGGATGATACCAGTTTCTTTACCAAAAGAGTAAAGCTTAAATTTCATGTTTAACAGCATTTCCCTGATTACAGCAATAAAAAAAACAAAGGATAAGAGAGAGTCAAAATTTAAGAGGCTTGGCCACTTATATACATTTGTCACAAATTTGTCGTAGCTAGTTTAACATTATATTTAAGTGCCTTTCGCGCACGCCAATGAAGAGCTGCAGCTTTGTCCGGTGTTCCAATCTGAAAATCAGCCAGGAAAAATAAGATCAATAACAAGATGATACACCTTTTGAACACTGTCCACCCTTTTCTCCGCTTTCTTTGAGGCAGCTACAAAATTGACTCACTAACTTTGTACAGCGACATAACCAACAATCTTGAAAAACACAACACATTAATGGGACGGAAATGGAATAGGGGATCAAGTGTACAAGTTTACCTTAACCTCCATCGTATAATAGTCCCTCCACAAACTTGGTTCTTGGCTATAAGTTGTGAGGGCAGATTCAAACAATTTTCGAGCATTTACAAGACAATCGCTGTTTCCCACAGAAGCAAGGTTCATTTCCAATTCAATGCAGTTCTGGAATAGAATTAGCCCTGGACGAGGCAACGCAAGCAATCTGCAAGTATAACAGTTTTAAATGTTGGCTCTTCCACGGGGATAATTTTCACCCTATGATAGTCACTACGTCATGCATACATATTAAGTACACAATTATACTCAGAGAAATCAGCAATACCGTTTATAAATCTCTCTTGCTCTCTGAACCCCATCCCTTTGAAGGACATGATTTACAACAGTGGAACCGAGAGAAAAGCCATTATCACTTCCGCCGAACTTGGTCAGTGCAACTACTGAAGTCTCTACTAGCTTGTCAAAATAGTGTTGATGATGTGCGAAATATTTGAAAGCCTGAATAACATGCAAAATAAATGGATTAGAAGTTAGAACTTAAGGCCATCTATGCAATTCAGTCGTCCATGCATAAATGAACATGTACAACTGCGTGAGAAAATTAATGCAGTCCCAAACTAATGAGGTAAGTACAACTGCTATTCTTAACAACCAAAGCCCATACACATATGATAACATGAACATGAATTAGTAGATCCATAATTCTAAAAGATAGGGTACCAAAAATTGTTTCAGCATACCATTCGCCACAGCTTTTCTGCTTCTGAAATGGCAACATGAGTTAGAAAATTTATGAGGATATCGAAGATGGATGATAAATTAGCTTTGGTAGGAGAATTGGATCGATCTTGAACACATCTCATGTCTATTGAAATTTGCAAAGCCCATAGTTTCACAGAATTTGAGAATTTTCCTGCACAAAGCTTTTCCACAAGCTTTCTAGCTTCATGTAGTTTCCCCAGTTGCAATAGAAATGACACATGCTCACAAGCAAGATCCTCAGAAATGAACCCCGAGTTTTGTGCTTCTTCATAAACCATCAATAAATGAGAAATAGGATCCACCCCTTGCCCAGATTTGCTGGAATCCTCAGGTTGGTTGTCCCCAATTATGCAACTAATAGCATCCATTAAGAACTTTACATAAAACTCAAACATTGTAGCTGAAGGCACAGCTTTCAATCCCTCCTCGTAAATCTATAGGTTCAGAACAAGAAAGAAGATGCATCAAGATGTAGTCTGTAAGAAGATATCATCTTCCTCTGATGTTTGACATAAAAGCACAGAAGTAAAATAATTAAAATATTTTATTTACAGTGATTTAGGGTGGTAAACTAGAGTGTAGCTGAAACACACCTGATAGCTAAAGTCAGTAGACAAAGAAAAAAAAAACTGACCAAAAAAAAAATAGACTCATAAGGCTCCAGCATCATTTTGCTATAAATGCTAGCTTCCTACTTTCCTTGCACAAAATCTGGCTTTGAAAAATTAGGAATTTCCCTCAGGACATACCAGCATTCACATGGTGCAGTACAGAACTAAAGAAGTTGCACAGCCCCCTCTAAGAGGGGTAAAAGGAGGATGAAAAACTGATATTATCATAATTGAGTGCAGGAAGGAGGACATAAATGTAACTGCTTGGTCATGATTATGCAACCTTAGATGATGAATGGTAGCCCAAAATACCTGATACAGATGAACTACTCATGTGATATCATTATAGGCAAGGCAAGCCAATGGATCAATATACTATTTGTCCAATAAGCATAAGTACTACCCTTAGAATTGGATGACCATAGAGTAACACCATAAATCAAAGCACTATATGATGCATAATTTCTAATTTGGCCACACACCTGGATCGTTTTTCTAAATTGTTCAGGGAAAATTTCTTCATTCTTCTTTTGCCCACTTCTTCTTTCATAAGTTTGCTGTCTGGCAAGCCAATCCCAAAATTCTGGTTCTTTTGAAAAATCCCTTCGTAAGTCGGCAAGTATCTCATCTCGCATATCATCTGAATGAGTCAAGTCTGTTGCTTCCAGTATCTCAAGAAATCTAGTTCGTAGGCTGAAACTAGAAGGAAGGGCTTCAATTGCTCCACTGTAAACAGTTCGAAGGATGCTTAAACCTTTCACTCGAAATAGATCTGGTTTCTCCTCTGATGCAGCATTGGCATTAGATTCTAAAGCATCCTCCTTTTCCTCATCAAGTGCCATAAACAGTTCACTGTTCTCGGCTCTCCATTGCTTCTCAGCAGCTTCACGGGGATCACGAGTTAATGTTCCGTCATCCTCTCCTAGAGCAACCCTTCGAGCTTTCAACTTGTTCAGATATGTGAGTTCCATGCGAAGATACTCTACCCACAGATCCTCTGAAGTTGGGCATGCTCTCAAACCATTCTGCATGAGAGCACGAGCAGCAGCAGTATTCAAGTTCTGGTCAAACTCCCAAGCAGCAGCATAAATCCAGACCCCAGGTACTTTAGGATGAAAACGGATCAACTGTGCTAGTGCCTAGAATAGAATAAGAAGAAACAAGAATGTTAAAATGTATGAATCAAAATTAGCATCCCGCATGACTACATAATAGCTATGCATGCGTAAGCGAGCTGTGTGTGATATTTACACACTCGACTTAAGGAAATGATTCTCAGTCTCAATTCTGAATTCCTAGTTCTTTGAAAACCACAAACAACTTAGGTTTGAATATCCCCTAATCCCCAAATTTTAGAACTTGTGCCATATGAAAGCAAATTTGGCTTCTTAACCAGAGATTGGAGAGCACATGATTAGTCTTCCACTAATTTTTCATCAGAACCAAATAGTATAAAAGAAACCCAGTTTCCTCTAAAAAGATTAAAACTTGATTCCTAAAGAACAATACATTGTCTCAGGCGCTCAACTAGACATGACTATACATCAATTTAGATACTCATATATAGATGTCTAGGATGCATATCCCTGTTCATTCATCCATTCCTTTCACATCAAAGAGTTACAAAAGTCCGTCTTCTATTTCAAGCCAATCCACCACCAACAATGAAATTTCTAAATTGAATTAGCCAGCCCAAAAAGAAAAAACAGAGCCAAACAAAACATATCTAAAATACCTTTTTCATTCTGCCATTTCTTCTTTGCCTACAGAACTCCAAATACTGAAACCAAAGCTGAATATCTCCCTTAAACCTGTTAGTAGCCAGCCGATATATCTCCACGATTCTGGAGACACCCGCGTAATCCGCCACTGATTTCTTCCATTTCTTATCCTTCCCCGTCTGATGCTTCAACAGAGCTTTCTTCCTAAGCAGCCGCAGCTCGTCCAGCTTCATCTCGTATTCGATATACGCCAAAAAGTCTTCCTTCAATGGGCTCGGCCTCTTTAGCCGGTACTCGAACTTCCGCCGCTGTTTCACTATCTCGGCTATCTCCCGCCGGCTGAACAAGCCGCGCCGCTCTAGATCCTCCAGCTCATTCAGCATCCTCTCCAGCTTGAACTGTACCACGTCCGCCATTTTTCTTTTCTCTTTCTTTCTTTTTTTTTTTTCGGTTCTCTGTTTCGTGGGGTTTTGGGAGGGGAAGGTTTTGGCGGTTAGGTTTATTTGATTCTGATTTCCAAGGAGGAAGATGACGGAGGTGGGATTGGGCCTAGAAATTGGGCTGTCCCCTTACTAAAAGATTTGAGGGGCTTAAGGCTGGTGCAGTGTGTAACCCTTGATCTCTTCCCCTTATAACTGGGCTGAGTTGGGCCTACTTCCCAAGTTAGTTGTTAGGACCCATATCTTCAGTTCCCTCTCTTTTTCTTATTTCTTCCCCCCCCCCCCAACCCCACCCCTACCCCTACCCCTACCCCTACCCCTACCACTTTTTAAGTTGAAAACATATGTGAAAAGTTATTCTTAAGAATTAATCTTTTATATAATGACAGTATGCACCGTTCTTATTAGATGGATACACTATCACTATGCATTGCATGAAACTCATCTAAATTTAAATTTAAAATCCAAATTTTGTTCATGCATCATACATCCGACTATAATAATACATACACTGTCAATATATGTATATAAAATAAACTCTATTATTAAAGTTCAACATTTTGGTCAAGAAATGTTCAATTTCAATTCTAGTTACTAGAAGTCTTTTATTAGTACTTGGTAGCCAATAACATAAACTAAAAAAAAACACACACACACACACACACACACAAAAGAGAATCTACTAATATCTACCAAATTCTTAACTTACAATTGCTGAATTTTCCATTGTAATTGTGGAAATATAGTAGAAATGGAATTCACTCATTTTGGGGAAGCAATAACTTGTTCTCAATGGGATATGAGACGGAAGCTTGCAGATTAACAAATAGTAGT